AAAAACTGAGACCTAGTGAATGACACACGTTGCTCAAGTCAAGTGCCACGGCATGTTATAACCATTCAGTCATCATCCAGGCAAGAATATGAAGCCTGGAGATTATTAACAAATAGCAGTGGATACAAAAAGTCTATTTATTGGCTTCTAGCAATGTGGTGGACTCAGACAACTTGAAAATCCTTCTACTATAATCACCTAGAAGTACTGGGTAAAATGTAACAATTATTTTAAATGTACGGCTAGGCTCACAAGTAATAAAAGCAAATCCCCAGGTGCCAGAAACAAAGAGCGAAGTAAAAAAGCAGAGGAGGGAGTGCTCGACTAAGGGGGGCATTTATCTCCGGAATCCAGGGCTGCGGTGGTAATTCCCACACGCTGGGAGCAGATGAGGCTTCGGGCTTTGGGAGGTAGGGAGTTGGAACTAAGAACTCTGCATAAAGCCAAGACCCTGAAAGGACTAGTCTATTTATGAAACGATTTAAAAACAAGAGAGACCACAGGACACAGGACTTTGGGTGGGAAAACAAGAAAAGCTCTCCAAGAATTCAAAACCACAGGACCACAATTCACACTGCTTTTGCTCTACCCACGTAGTTCAGAAACTCCAGACTAAAAAGTAACAGAAGAATTATTCCTCAAGCAGTGATACCCCTGAGGCACAAGGCAGAAGCAAACAAAATACTTCTCTGGAGAGATGCTCCCACATCCCAAATATCATGGGATTTTCACAGGAAAAAATACAAGCCCTGCTGATGATTTCACTATAAAAAATGACAACGCCCATAAGTGAATGATCCCAACTGATCAAGAGTCCACACACACGATCAACATGCCGTTATACCCCCTTGAACTCCAAATACGGCGAGACAACCAGAAAGAGATTATAAAAGAAATACGTGTAAAATGACTACAGACGAGAAAGGAAGCAATCAAATCCTTAGAACTAAACCCTATGAAAGAAGAGCAGGCAGAACTGAAAAAAATAAAATAGAACCAAAAAATCCCATAATGCATCTTGAAATAAATCTTTTAAAAAAGACTATAAGAATGATAATGAGAAATTCCTTATTAAAAGACATTAGAGAAGACTAAAATAATTGAAAAAATACACCATGTTCATAGATAGGAAGACTCAATATCGTAAAGATGGCAATTCTCTCTAATCTATAAATTTAATGCAGTTCCCATCAAAATCCAACAGGGGATTTCACAGAATTGACAAGGTGATCCTAAAATGTGTACAGAGGACTAAAGGATCAAAGAAATTCTGAAGAATACAGGTGGGGGAGGGGGAGGGCCTCATAATACCAGATGTCAAGACTGCGATAAGCTGCAGTATTTCATACACGCAGTGCTCATGAGAGGATAGACCAAAGAGACACCGGATCATAACAGAGCGCCTAGAAACAGAGCTCGCTGTGTGACAGAGGTGGCGTTCCAAATTAGTGAGAAAGAATGAACCAGTCAATAAATGGTGCCTCCACATCACACCCCCAAGTCATCTCCAGTGGATGAAAGAGCCAAATGCTGTTGAAAAGCAAAACTTTAACTACTTTTGGAGAAGACAGTCACCTGTGGTATCTCGTTACCTGTGGTATTTCTGTTCTATGTAATTGCTGTGACCACTGAATTAGCAAATGCTGAAGCATTGGTCCTGGGGAATACAGAGTTAGGTCCCTGCAAGCCTCTGGTCACAGCATTTTCATCAATGGATCAATAACATAACCTTGTTTTATGTATTTCTGTTTAAAGACACCACATTTAGTATATATTGTTGATTCATTAACACGGAACTCAGCCAGCAGCAGTGTAACTAACGAAGCCTGAAGGAGGCTTATCCAACGTGTGTTTTCTCCAGGAGGCACCTCATAGCCTTCTTGCACTGAGGAACACTAGACAGCACTCCAGCACTATGCTTGGAGCCATTTTAAACAGCAAAATCACCCACAAAAAGCACAAAAATGCAAAAAATGTGGCACTGAATAAACGGTGAGAAGGACACTTGATTACCATACAAGACCTGGAGGAAGGCAGAGCGGCGACAGGTTTGACCTCAGCTGGGAACATGTGCGACTCAAAATTTTCAACATTTTGTACATAGCCACCATGAATATTGATTTTAGGGTTACAAATAAATTTTAGTGAGTAGGTGAATTTGCAAGTATGGAATCTGTGCATAATAAGGATTGACTGTATCTTTTTAATATTTCCAGGGTTGGAAAGGATATTTCTGTTTTTAGACAAGATGCAAAAAGCACAAATTATAAAGGAAAAGACTGACAAACTGGATAAATTGAAATTTAAAACTTCTCCTTGAAAATACATGTCAGAAGAAAGTGAAAAATCAAGTCACAGACTGAGAGAAGATATCTGCTTCCCAAACAACAGAGGATTATATCAAGAAGAGTTTTACAGTTCCTAGAAACCAGTACGAAAAAGACAAATGGCTTTTAGAAAATAAGCAAAGGATAAGAACAAGGATTTTCTTAGAAGAAAACAGACTGGCCAACAAACTAATAAATGTAAAATTTAAGTGTGATTAAGCACAACTCATGTGTCAGGCAGAAGTTTTACAACATTAAATGACAATCTAGTAAAATCAAAATATTTATGGATACAACTTCTAACAAAGGCATATAATTAATTCCAGAGATTAGAAGCCCAAGGAAGAAAATGAGAGTTCCAGAAAGAAACCCTGAGAGTAAATAACCAAAAGACATTCAGGAAGCAACAAAAAAAAGACTCATCCAGTACTGCCAGGGATTGGACATTTCTTAAAACCACTATCCCAGGATTATCCGTGGATTTTCATGAGATAATGGGACAGAAGCTCTGTAGATATTAGGTTGTACACATTCAGTGCACTTTAAGATTCTGTTCTTCTGGAACCACTGTCAGTACCAAATTCTCCATCAGTCAGGGTTCAACCAGAGGCCAAACCAGTAGATGTATATACCTAAAACCCGTAGAAGTGGCTTATGCAAGTACGGGAGTAAGGCTGTAGACGCCATACCTGATGCTGGGGCTCAAAGTCCACAGGGCAGGCGGTCAGGAGGGGAAGACCAGGAGCAGGTGCAAACCCACGAGCGAAGCTGGCATCCCACAAGGACAGACTGAAGCCTGAGTCCATTCTTATCCGGTCTGGCCTTGTGATGAGGTCATCGTGCAGAAGCCAGGGCCCTTTATCACAGAGCTAAACACATACACCTGGCCCAGGAATCACCTCATGGAGCTAAACACACATACCTGGCCCAGGAATTGCCTCGTGGAGCTAAACACACACACCTGGCTCAGGAATCAGAGACACTGACAGAGGATCCAGGGCAACATAGAGCAATTTCAGACCTAGCCACCTCTTCACACCAAGGTGAATCAGCAACTCAGCAACAGCATGTGGGAGCTACACAGTGGCTACTACTTCCCTTTGCCTTCCAAATCTCTGAAGAATCTCCCTTGTGGTCTACCTTAACTAGAAACATAGAAGAAAGAGAATTCTGAGAGAGCTAGTTCAGCCTAGCCAAACTGACACATTACAAAGCCATCACATTCTTTAATGGTTGTACGTGTCTTCAGACCCTCCTTTATGTTCTTTTGTTTTGTTTTGTTTTTTTGAGGAAGATTAGCCCTGAGCTAACTACTGCCAGTCCTCCTCTTTTTGCTGAGGAAGCCTGGCTCTGAGCTAACATCCGTGCCCGTCTTCCTCTAGTTTATACGTGGGACGCCTACCACAGCATGGCTGCCAAGCAGTGCCATGTCCGCACCCGGGATCCGAACCAGCGAACCCCGGGCCGCCGAGAAGCGGAACGTGCGAACTTAACCGCTGCGCCACCGGGCCGGCCCCACTCCTTTTGTTCTTGAGTTAGCATTAGTAAATTATATTTTTCCCTAGGAAATAAGCCATTTACCCACTTTTTTAATGGCATAAAGTTATTCACAGTATTCTTGTGAACTATTTTTAGCAATTTCTGGTAGAGCTACAGTTCCATTTCTTTTTCACTCAGTAATATGGTTATCTTCTTATATTGTTTCTAATTTAATTGCATTATGATCAGAGAATGTAGTATCTTTGTTATTGATTGCTTGGTATTTGAGATATGTTTTGTGGTCTAATACATAATCAATTTTTATAAATGTTCCATGTATGTTTGAAAATAACATGTATTCTCTAAAATTGATTGCCAAGTATACACACACACCCATGTGATCAAGTGGATTAATCGGGTTGTCCAATCTTCTATACACTAATTTTTTGTTTACATGATCAATTACTGACAGAGGTATATTAAAAACTCCCTCTATCACTTTCTCCTAGTAGGTATGTCAATTTTTGCATTATAAATTTTAAAGCTGTGTTATTAGATGCATATAAGTTTATTATCTCTTCCTGGTAAATCGTTCCTTTTAGCCTTCAGCAATGACCTTTTTTATCCCTAATGACATTCTTTGCCTTAAAGTCGATCCTGTCTGACATGAATATTGCTATGGTTTTAATTATGCTCTTTTTTTCATGCCCTCTAGGGGTTTCTTTTACTTTCTTGCTAGCTCAGCTATGCATTTAAAAAAGCTATTTGTTATATTCTATCCATTATTTCTGGGGTGTGTAGCAGGCAGGTTTGCAAGATATTTAACCTGGCATATTGATAGATCTTGAAGTTCTCAAACTTAGAAAAAATGAAACAAATCGCCTTTAAACAGAAATTTCCTATTATGTTTGATATGCAATCAGAATAGCAGAATTGCACAGTGTATGCATAACCAAGGCCCCATCTTACCAATGAAGGTGTCAAACCCTATTAATTGTAGGGCTCAATCTGAATGTATTCACTTGGTATTTCCAACAGACAAAAATTATATATATATATATATATATATATATATGCTTTTTCAAACAATATACTTCCACAGCTTCCCCCAAGAATCTGATATGACCCCCATCCCTGAAGAGTGGTTCCCCACAATTGGCTTACAGTATCGCCAAAGAAGATTACAGATGGAAATATTTTAAAGGCGGAAATATTTTATTCCATTAAGAGTTTGGTATTCCTCCTCTCATCTCACAGATGTTTCACTTTTCTCTGCTGCTCTGTGGGTTCCTTTCAGTGTATTTCCAAACTGCTCTGGTCTCCGGGTAAGGTAGCATCCAAGAGACCAACACTCAACTCAAACCCAGTTTCTACCTGGCAATGTGTAGGTCCTAACACCAGAGCCAAATCCTATCAGCTGCCATTTAACCTAGTCTTCCCAATAACAGCTTACTAGGGATTCCAATACCCACACTATACATCTGCTCGTGGCATGGATTGGGGTCTACTTTTCTCTACTATTGACTGAATTTCAAAGGTCCTGGAAAAGATTGTGTCAGTGATTTGGGCCCAACTGTTTACAAGGAGGGAAAGCTCTAATTCTTGTTAAGCAAGTGTGCTATCTGATTTGTGCAACTTATCAAATTTATGCACTACATAGAAAGCATTTAAAAACTCATTAAAGTCAATGCTTCCATCTTTGTTTAAGTCCATTCTTTCGGCGAGTTCATCAACTTGAGAATCATCAATATGAACACTGTAGTGACTGTTGAAAAGTTTCCACATGGTACGAAATTCTTCCATGGAGATCAGGCCTAAAAGAATAGAGGAGAAGGCTGTGAGTGTTCATTTTAAGACCCACCTAAGGCAGGGGTGGGGAAGCCATATTTGTTAAATAGTCCCAATTAGAAGCTCAGTAACATGCCTGACCATCAAGACACTGGAGGAAATGGAAAAGTAAGATTTTAAACATAGGAAACAATTTGTCACTTTCAACTACCAAGTGATCCTGAGATTATTCTGAAGTGGGAATGAGTAAACAGTGAAGGGACAGGGGGAGATTGTGGACTGTGGGACTATATGTGGTATAGAAATGACAAGATCTAAAATCTAAGGTAGAGAGTCATGGAAGGAGGACAGAGAAGAGAGCAACATCAAAGCAGAGGGAGAAGATAACCTGGGACTCAATAAGAGGACTGCAAACAATGGCTCTGCCATTTTTTATAGCCAATAATTTACTTTCATGTTTTGATTATTGATTTTTTGGTGTTCAGTGGTCTCTGCAGTTGGAGATTATCTGATATTTTTTTTTGAGGAAGATTAGCCTTCAGCTAACATCTGCCAATCCTCCTCTTTTGGCTGAGGAAGCCTGGCCCTGAGCTAATATCTGTGCCCATCTTCCTCTATTTTATATGTGGGACGCCTGCCACAGCATGGCCTGCCAAGTGGTGCCATGTCCGCACCCAGGATCCGAACCAGTGAACCCCGGGCCGCCGAAGCGGAACATGCGCACTTAACCCCTGCTCCACCGGGCTGGCCCCCTCTGATGATTTTTTTTAAGTTTCAAATAAGTAATCGTGCATCAAAGCTAAGCAGAAAATGAGTTTTCATAGCCCTCAGTCCCAAAAACAGAATCAGAACTCGAGGAATGATTTGTATTGCCAAGAGTAACTATGATGTTTAAATGGACAGTGAGTTATCTTTTCATCTGTGCTGATGATTTATAAAGCAGCTATTCTTGTCTCACTAATGGCTACATAGGCCTATATAGGACCATATGGTCATGAATACAGACTTTATGGCTAAACTAAAATAACAATAATATTAAATATGAGTTTATCCCCCCCCCACACACACACACCTCGAGTTAAATCAAGTTTGGATGAAGAACACAATAGATGAAAACAGAGTCTTGGTTTCAGAGAAGGAGACTAGCCTTTGCTTTCTACTGCTACTAAACTACTCAAAATTCATTTACCTGAGTGATCAGAGTCAATGATATTAAAGATGATTTGCAGGTCAGTTCGGTGTCTGTACAGAGTTTCAATTAGAGTAGACTGAGCCTAAAATAAAGATTTTCTAAATGTTAAAGTATATATAATTAATAACACAGATCAATTTTAGTAAACATAACAAACACCAAACATCATCACCATTTCAAAGTATGTGATTTAGATAGAAATTTGAGCAGGCAGGCCCACCTTGGAGGCCAACCCTCTTTAATCAGACAAAAGCCCATGCTCTGGTGTTCTGAAGCATCTGCAGTCTGTGGTCCTCAGGGGACAGGGCCAAAGCGAATCAGGAAGCAGTAAATAACAACAGGCACCATTTACTGAGAACATCTGTGTGCCAGGCTCTGCCCTGAGAGCTTTCTATGGATTATTTCATTCAGTCCTCAACAACAGCCCCAAGGAACAGAACTATTATGATGTCCATTTTACAGATTAGAAAGCAGAGGTAAAGTAAGTTTCCTTAGCTGGTAAGCGGCATTTGAGTCCCAGCTGTCTGAAGCCAAGACCTATGAGCTTAGTCACCGTGCAAACTCCCTCGTAAGTGAAGCCAAAAGCCTCCTCCGGGTGGATGTTTTAGTCTCCCACCTGCACCTTTACTCCCCTTCCCCTGCTCTTAGCTTCTCGTCTTCCCTACAGGCACCCCAGTGCTGGTTCCCATCAGCTCACTTCCAGCCCAATGTTCCATCTCATTGCTGATGAGTTGTTAACTAATAAGTGCTGCATGTCTGACACTTCTCCCTGGGGTATTCCCATTTTAATAAGGGATTCTAAATTTTAAAAATCTTTAAGGTATAATACGTCAGGTCAGTAAATCTATATACTCACAGTTTACTAGGGAATATGTTGAGTATTTTAAGGGGTGTGTTATTTGAAAGAATGGATGTCACATTTGCCCTTCTGCTGGACAGCATTTAAGACAATCACATATTTGATGTTGATTTGCTTGCAGAAGCTTTTTCTTCTTTTTTCTTTTTGCCTATTCTTAGAGCGCACACATTTTCGGAACAGATCGCAATGTACCTGGGAGATCCCCCTTAGGTCTTTCCTAAGACTGCCACTCCCATCCACTAAATAATTTCACTCCCAACTTTTCAAAGGACCAAGTTACTCTTGTAGGCTGTCCAAAGGGTGTTTCGCTCCAACCAGGTTTCGGCTGGGGCTGTTCCACTTGCCTCTTTCACAGGTTTTTGAATGTGAACATCCTGGAAGCTGGACATGTAGTCAACGTTTCCATCTTTGTCTGTGGTTACCAGATGCGAACTCAGGGATCTCCATGGTAAGTTCAGCCCCAAAACGTTCTCCATGGAAAAAGCCCACTGGCCCAGAGAAAGTTTTCCTAACAACAACAAGAAGGAAAAAGCCCATATAATTGGTTGCTAATTTGATAACCTCCTTGGTGGAGCCAGTGGGCAGCCTGGGGTTTTGAGGTCTGGGTGCCTCCTGCTCCCTATTATGATTTGTCCTTCCAGACTGCCAGCTCTGAGAGGGAATGACTAAGAAAGTCCTCACTGCTCCACAGATCTTTCCCTCACTGTCATGTGGAAGCAATCAGACTTTGGGTGTTGGATTTTTTTTTCCCTTTTTCTGATTAACAAAGTAAGGTATGCTTATAATGGAAGATTTGAAAACACAAAAGGATATAAAAAAGAAAAGATTACTTTTATTTTTAATATTTTGGCATATTATTCACTTCTCATTTCCTAGGTAATATCCTTTCATCCCCTAATATTATATGTAGGTTTTCAAAATATAAATATCTTTATTTTTTTCTGATTATTAAAGATATGCTCATTTGAAATGATTTTGAATAAACAGAAAACAATATTATTACTCCTAGTGTTTTTCTATGTATATAAACATGTATACACATATAAATGTATATATATTTTCTTTCTTAAAGCCAAATACACATTGTACTCTAGCATATATTTTATATACATGTATTACATATGGCAATACACACACACAATAAACATATTTATTCTGACCTGATTTTTTACTTACAATAAATCATGGACATCCATCTATGTTTAATAAACATAGATCTACATCATCGTTTTAATGGCTATGAAACTATTCCATTATTTTCTTAGGATCATTTATAGAAGTGAAATTGCTGGATCAAAGGGTATACACATTTTTAAGGCTTGATATATATATTGCCAAACTGCTTTCAAGAAAGAGTATCCATTTATACTCCTACAAGACCATTCCCCACACACTTACCCGCTAAGGACATAATTCTTCTTTCTTTTTATTGAAGTTTAACACACACAGAAAAGTTCACAAAACAAATACAGAACTCAGTGAATTATCACAAAGGGAATTCTTATGTATGCTTATATACCACCACCAAGGAAAAGAAGTAGAACAATGCCAATATGGAAAAGGCCCCCTTGTGGCCCCTCGCAATTACTATCACCTCCCACTTTCCCAAGGAGAGCCACCATCTTGATTTCTAACACTATAGTTTACTTTTTGCCTTTTTTGATCTATATGTAAAAGGAATCATAAAGTATATATTTTGGGGGAAGTCTGGCTTCTTTTGCTCAACACTAAGTTCATGAGATTCAGCTATGTTGTTCCATATAGTTGTAGTGCCTTCATTTTCATTGATGTATAGTATTCCATGGTATGAATATTCACAATTTACATATCCATTCTACTGTTAGTGGACAATGGGTTATTTCCAGTATGGGGCTATTACAAACAGTGCTGCTAAGAACATTTCTTTACATGCCACTTTGGTACATTGAACCTATAGCTCAATTTGAGGAGAATTTATATCTTGACAGCTTTGGCCCTTGAACACATAATATCCACTCATTTATTTCAGTCCTTTTTAATTTCTCTTAATAATATTTTAGAAATCTCATACATCAATCATTAGATTTCTTCCTCTGTACTTGATTATCTATTGTGAATGGTATCTTTTAAGATTTTCATTATCTAAAAGTTAATTGCTAGCTATACCAGTTATCAATTTATTCCCACTCCGCTCCAAATATACCCTTCTTTGCCCTGTTTTGTGATACTGGAGCTGAACCCCGTAAATATTTCTCCTTTGGCAGCTGGTATAATGTTAGGCTTTCTCAGTAGAGGGTACAGGAAGACTGTTCTAAGATAGCAGAAGAAACGGTTCTGATGTGCTTCACTTCTCCAGCACAGCATGGTTGCCAGAGGTGTGTGGGAAATGCAGTGGCACCCAGTCTCTAGTCAATCTCACTGACACCACAGTGGGTGGCTGCTTCTTTGCCAGCAGTGTGTGGGAGACACAGTAGTACACAGCCCAGCGGGTGTTTTGCTGGAACCCCAGTGGGTGGCTCCATCCTCTCCAGTCCTGGCCTACTAGCTACAGACCAACTCTGACCTGAGACACCTCAGTGAACTTCTGCCCCATCCAGTGGGCCACAGTCACACTCTCTCTAATGAGGTCTGAATCTTAGCCTTGGTGGAGAGCAGGGGACTCTTCCATGCTTGTTCCTTCCTGGGTACTCTCTCTCAGCCTTAGAGATGGTAGCTGCTCCCTACACTTCCTATCTCTCTATTCTTTAGAGTTCTCTATTATCCCTTTTAGTAATTAATTACCTTTTACTAGTTAATAAGTCTTTATATTAAATTTGCATATTCAAATTATTGATATGGTTTCTGTCTCCTGAATAGACTCTGACTATTATACTAGTATATGGAAATGCAATCAATTTCTGTGTATTGACCTTGTGTTCTACAACTTGCTAAATTCACTTATTAACTCTAATAGTTTTTCTATGGATTTATTTGCATTTTCTATATTCTCAATCATGCTGTCTATACATAGTGACATTTTTTTCCTGCTTTTGATCCCCAAATCCCCCCAGTACATAGTTGTATATTTTAGTTGTGGGTCCTTCTAGTTGTGGCATGTGGGACGCCTCCTCAATGTGGCCTGACAAGTGGTGCCATGTCTGCACCCAGGATCCGAACCAGCAAAACCCTGGGCCACTGAAGCAGAGCGTGCAAACTTAACCACTCAGCCACGGGGCTGGCCCCCCATAGTGACATTTTATTTCTTCCTTTCTAATTCTTATCATTTTATTGAACTTGCCTTATTGCACTGCCTAGCATCCATAGTACAATGTTGAACAGAATCTTGAGAGTGGGCATCTGTCTTAGTTCCCTACTGCTGCTGTAACAAATTACCACAGACTTAGTGGCTTAAAATAAAACAAATTTATTCTCTTATAGTTCTGGAGGTTAGAAGTCCAAAACCACTTTTGCTGGGCCAAAGTTAAAGTGTCGGCAGGGCTGGTTCCTTCTGGGGGCTCCGAAGGGAGGATCTGTTTCCTTGCCTTTCTCAGCTTCTAAAGGCTACCTATATTCATTCCTGGGCTTGAGGCACCTTCCCCCATTTTCAAAGTGCATCATTTCAGTATCTGCTTCCATCATCACATCACCTTCTCCTCTGACTCTGACTCCTCCTAGGTCCGTTTTATAAAGATCATGGTGAGTACATCAGACCACCTAGACAATGCAGGATAGTCTCTACAGGTCAAGATCCTTAATTTAATCACATCTGCAAAGTCCCTTTTGCCATATAAGGTAACATGCACAGATTCTGGGAATTATGATGTGGACGTATTGGGAGAAGAGGCATTATTCAGCCTACCACAGCATCCTTCCCTCATTCCAAATCTTAGAAGGAAAGGTCTCAACATTTCTCCATTAAGTATACTATTTTTTATAGGCTTTGGTAGATATCTTTTATGAGGTTAAGGAAGTTTTCTTCTATTTTTAGTTTTCTAAATGTTTTTTAAAACCATGAAACCAGGATGAAATACATACAATTTTTTCTTATTTTGAGAGAATTATATGACTTCTTTAATTTTGTCAAAATGGTGAATTACACTGATTGATTGGGGGGGGGGGTTTTGTGAGGAAGATTGTCACTGAGCTAACATCTGTGCCAATCTTTCTCTATCTTGTATGCGGGACACCACCATAGCATGGCTTGATGAGCAGTATGTAGGTCCATGCCCAGGATCCAAACCTGCAAACCCCAGGCCACTGAAGTAGAGCGTGTGAACTTAACCACTACACCACTGAGCTGGCCCCTACACTGATTGATTTTTGAATGTTAAAATAACCTAGAATTGCCAGTATTCCTAGAATAAACCAAACTTGGTTGTGATACATTAATTTTTTGCTAATGTTTCATCTAGGATTTTTTTCATCTAAATTTATGAGTGGGATTAGCCTTTAGTTTTCCTTTTCCATAATGTTCTTGTTAGGTTTGGGTATCAAGATTATGCTGATCCCCTAAAATGATCTTGGAAGTGTTCCCTCTATTTCTATTCTCTGGAAGAGTTTGTGTAAGATTGGTTTTACTTCTTTCTTAAATGTATATTGTAATAGTGATAGTGAGCTATCTGAGCTCAAGCTTTCTTTGTGGAAAGTTTCAAAATTTCAGATCCAATTTCTTCAATAGTTATAAGATTGTCCAGATTTTCTATTTCTTTTTGTGTCAGTTTTGTAAGTTTGTGAGTGTGTGTGTGTGTACGTATATATTTTAGGAATTTGTCCATTTAATCTGAAGTTTCATTAGCGTAAGAGTTTCCACAATAATACACCTTATGAGCTTTTTGATATCTGTAAAGTCTGTAGTAATGTCTCCCCTTTCAATGCTGACATTGGTTATTTGTTTTTCTCTCTCTCCCTCCCTCCCTCCTTACCAGGGTTTTACCAACTTTACCAGTTTCTTCAAAGAACCATTTTTTTACTTCGTTGATCATAGTTTCATCTTTTTTTTTTTTTTAAAGATTTTATTTTTTCCTTTTTCTCCCCAAAGCCCCCCGGTACATAGTTGTGTATTCCTCGTTGTGGGTTCTTCTAGTTGTGGCATGTGGGACGCTGCCTCAGCGTGGTCTGATGAGCAGTGCCATGTCCGCGCCCAGGATTCGAACCAACGAAACACTGGGCCGCCTGCTGCGGAGTGCGTGAACCCAACCACTCGGCCACGGGGCCAGCCCCCATAGTTTCATCTTTTAAAAATATATGTATTTAGGGTTATCAATGCCTCTCTAATTTGCATCCCATAAGTTTTGATATGTTGCATTTTCATTATCATTCAGTTTCACCATTTTAATTTCTACCATGATTTCTTCTTTGATCCAGGGGTCAAAGGAATCTAAAGAAGAAGTACATTTCTCATTTCCAAGCCCAAGGGGATTTTCTGACTACATTATGTGATTGAGTTGTAGCTCAATTCACTATGTCAGAGAATTTATTCTGTATGTTTCCAATACAAAATTTGTTGAGATTTGCTTTATGTTTCAATTTACAGTCAATTTTTGTAAATGTTCCATTTGTGCTTGACAAGAATGTGTGTTCTGCAATGGTGGATGCAGAGTTCTTATGTATGTCTTTTAGGGAAAGTTTGCTAATCTTTTTGTCTGTTTACTCTTTTTTTAGTTCCTGAGAGAGGAGTATTAAAATCTCCCACTAGGATGGTAGATTTTTATACTCCTATTTGTTCTGTCCATCTTTGTTTCACATATTTTTGAGGCTATATTAATAGGTCCATACACATTTAGAACAGATTCACTTGGCAAACTGAATACTTTATCATTATAAAGTGTCCCTTTTTATTTTTAGTAATGTATATTTCCCTCAAGTCTTCTTTGTCTGTTATTAACAGAACTGTTCTGATTTTGTTTTTGTTAGTGTTTTCATGTTATATATTTTCTAAATTTTATTCTCAATGTTTTGTATGTATGGTTCCACTGTCTACTGGCTTCTATTGCAATTATTGAGAAGTCTGATATCAGTCTAATTGTTGTTTCTTTGTAGCAATGTGTGTTTCCTCTGCTTGCTTTTAAGATTTTCTCTTTGCTGTTGGTGCTCTGTAGTTTTACCACAAGGGTGTGCCAGTGTGGATTTAACTTTATTTATCCTGTTCGAGAATCATTATTCCTCTTTACCTGTGAATTTGAGTCTTTCATCAGTTCTGGAGAAATTTCAACCATTATCACATCAAATATATCCTCTCTTACATTCTCTCCTCCTGGGACTCTGATTAGATGTATGTTAAACCTCCTCATCTTACTGTTAATAACTCTTAATCTTTCTAATTCTTTCTTAAGCAGTGTGTAATTTTCTATTTAAGCCATGCGTTATTTTTTTTAAATTTTTTTTATTCTCGAAAATTGATCAGACCAAACATTTTGACTTCAGCATTTCAGGGCATGGAAAAGCTTATAGATTTGACATCCTGCCAAATAGGACTGCAAATGAATGATCTTCTCCAGGACTCCTTTTTATTTATTTTTTTAAGATGTGCTTTTCTTTTGGTGGGGAAGATTGGCCCTGAGCTAACATCTGTTGCCAATCTTCCTCTTTTTTCCCTCCCCAAAGCCCCAGTACATAGTTGTATATCCTAGTTGTAGATCATTCTAGTTCCTCCATGTGGGATACCACCACAGCATGGCTTGATGAGCAGTGCGTAAGTCCACACCCAGGATACGAACCATAGAACCCCAGGCTGCCGAACCAGAGTGTGTGAACTTAACCACTCCACCATGGGGCCCCTATTTTTTTTAAACAAGTATATTAGTATATTTTTATATCTATTTGGTTCTTCTTCAAATCATTTTCAAATGCATTCTTTTATTTCTTTAAACATTTCTTAGCTAATTTTTATTTTGTATTTGATAATTCCAACATTTGATGACTTTGGAGAACTAAATCTGTTGTTTGTTGTTTCTGCTGTTACTCATGATAGCTTGTCTCCTTGTTTGTTTAGTGATCTTTGGTTGTGAGCTCATGGTTGATCTTTATCTCTGGATATACTAGTGGCCAAAATTAGGGATGCTCCCCATGAAGATAAATTTGCATTTGTTTGCCAGGAGTCAGAGGGCACTACAGACACAGGACTACTTTAGCCACTTTGAGGGTCCAGGTTTAATGTGGAAGTCTCAAATTCAGGTTATCCATCTTTCTGCTATCTTATGGTTTAGTCTCAGGACTGATTGCTACACTGATATTAGCATTTGCCCCCAGGAAAATCCAGCCTTTTGTGCTTGCTTTCTGCTCCATGCACCCACATGTGGTTTCAAAAGATCTTTCATGGGGAGAGAAGATGCAGCTTAGAGATTTATCTTACTGTGAAGGCTGATAAATGCATTAAAATTCTGTATCCTCTAGGACCTAGCTGTTTCTTAACAGGAGGGCCTTCCAGGGTGTCTAGTCTGACATACTACCAAAATAGAAATCTAAATCAGGGTTGTTTTTTTTAAGTTAAAAGAAGCTTACTGAAAAGGAGGAATATGCCTTTTTCTAAGCATATAATGGATTATATTTTATTTTTATCTCTATCATTCCTCGCTAGTAAAAATAGAAAACTGAAATTTTAAGGAAGCAAAGAAAATGAAAACTGATCTGTATGTAACCTGGTATGTTAAGAAATGGAAAGCATTACATAATTTTATTACCTGATTTATTGCGGTCTTGAAGTTGGAAAGCACGAATAAGGTCAGTTTTTCGTGAAATCAGTCTCTCTTTTAATATCCTGATGGCACTACTTTCCATAATATTCACCCTATGTTAACAAAACAGTTATTAAGTTAAAGTTACATAAATCATCCTGTTCTGTTTCATTTTAATGTGCTATTTACCACTTACCAGAGTTTCTACTTTAAATGAATTGTCTAGCTTCACACATACCATGTTACTAGGTGATGAATGTGTGTATATGTATGTATGTGCGTGCATATTATGTGAAATTTTAAAAAGGATTACCAATGGTGTTTCTTATTTCAAAGATTCACATGAACAATTAATGTCCAAGAATATACAAGACAATTTTGAAGAAGAAGGAAAATAAAGAGGGACTTGCTATAAAGGATATTGAAATTTACCATAAAGTTACTGAAACAAAACAGAGAAGACAGATACATGAGTAGAACATAATAGAAATTTCATGAATATAGAGAACTATATATGGGAACAATAAATATGACAAAGGAGGTATTACAATTCAGTAGAAAAGGACAATTTTTTTAAATGGTGCTAGTATAGCTGGCTAACTGTCTGAATGCTAAACTCCTATATCAGACCATTTACAAAAATAAATTTAAAATAAAGGAGGAACAGAGGAACAAAGTACTCACGAGTCATATACCCCCAAAAAAGGGAAAATGGCAGATGTAAATCCAACCATATCAATAAGAACATCATATGTGAATGGATTAAAAAATCAAGACTGGATTAAAAAAACAAGATCCAACTAAATGTTGTCTACAGGAGACACACTTTAGTTTCAAAGATACAAAAAGTTTGAAAGGGAAAGGATAAAAAAAGATATACCATGCAAACAGCAACCATAAGAGAGTTAGAGTGGGCATACTAGTAGAATAGACTTTAAGACAAAAGCTGTCACTAGACATAGAGAGGAATATTTTATAACGATAAAAGAGTCAATCAGTCAAGAAGATAAAACAATTGTAAACATCTATGAACCTAACAACAGAACCCAAAACTACATGAAGTAAAAACTGACAGAATTGAAGGGAGAAATAGATAATTCAACAATAATAGTCGGGGACTTCAATACTCTACTTTCAATAATAGATAGAACAACTAGGCAGAAAATTAACAAGGCTATAAAAGACTTGAACAGCACTATAAAGCAACTAGATCTAATATATATGTATAAAATACTCTACCCAACAACAGCAGAATAAACATTTTTCTAAAGCACATATGGAAAAATCTCCAAAACAGATCTTATGCTAGGCCATAATATAAACCTAAATAGATTTAAATAATTAAAATCTTACAAAGTATCTTTTCTGACTACAAAAGAAATAAATTGGAGATTAATAACAGAAAGAAATTTGGGAACATCACAATATCAGGAAATTAAACAACACAATCCTAACTAACCAATGAGTCAAAGAAGAAATCACAAAAGAAGTTAGAAAATACTTTAAGATGAATAAAAATTAAAATGCAACATGCTAAAACATATGAGATGTACCTAAAGCAGTGCTTAGAGAAAACATTAAAGCTATAAATGCCTATATTAAAAAAGAAGAAAGATCTCAAATCAATAACATAATGTTTACCTTCAAAAACTAGAAAAAAAAGAGTAAACTAAACCCAAAGCAAGCAGAAGATGGAAAGAATAGAGGAGAAATAAATGAACTAGAGAATAGAAAAACAATAGAGAAAATCAACAAAACCAAAAACTGGTTCTTTGAAAAGATTGATAAAATTGACAAACCTTTAGCTAGACTGGCCAAGAAAAAAAGAAAGAAGGCTCAAATTTCTAAAATCAAGAATGAAAGAGAGGTCATCACAACTGACCTTACAGAAATAAAAAAGATTAGATAACCTACACGAAATAGATAAATTCCTATAAAGATATAAGCTACCAAAACTGACTAAGAAGAAATAGAAAAACTAAACATACCTAAAACAAGTTAAAAGACTGAATAAGTAACCAAACAACTTCTCACAAAGAAAAGCTCAGGGCCAGATGGCTTCACTAGTGAATTCTACCAAACACTTAAAGAAGAATTAATACCAACTGTTTACAACAAACTCTTCCAAAAAACAGACAAGGTGGGAATACTACCCATTTTATCACATGAAGAAAGTATTACCCTGATACCAAAACCAGACAAAGATCAAAAGAAAACTACAGACCAATATCTCTTATGAATATAGATGGAAAATCTTCAACAAAATACTAGCAAACTGCATCCAGCAACACATAAAAAGGATTATACACCATGAACAAGTGGGATTTATCCCAGGAATATAAGGTTTGCTTAACATCTGAAATCAATCAAAGTAATACACCATATTAATAAAATAAAAGAGAAAAACCACATGATTGTCTCAATAGATGCAGAAAAAGTATTTGACAAAATCCAATATTCTTTCATGATAAAAACACTCAACAAACCAGGCATAGAAGGGAACTTCCTCAACCTGATAAAGAGCATCTACCAAAAACACATAGCTAATATACTTAATGGTGAAAGACTGAATGTGTCCTTCTCAAGATCAGGAATAAGGCAAAGATATTTGCTCTCAGCACTTCTTTTCAACATTGGTCTAGAGGTTCTAGCTAGGACAATTAAGCAAGAAAAAAAATAAAGAGCATCCAGATTGGAAAAGAAGAAGTAAAACTACTCCATTCACAGATAATATGATCTTGTATATAGAAAATCCCAAGGAATTCACTGAAAACTATTAGAGCTAATAAACAAGTTCATCAAGATTGCATAATGTACAAAAATCAATTGTATTTCTATACACTAGAAAGGAAAAATCCAAAACTGTAATTAAGAAAACAATTCCACTTACTATAGCACCAAAAAGAACAAAATATTTAGAAGTGAATTTAACAAAAGAAGTCTAAGACTTGTACACTGAAAACACAAAACATTGTTCAAGGAAATTAAAGAAGATCTAAATAAAGAGAACAATATTCCATGTTCATGGATTGGAAGACCTAATATTGTTAAGATGGCAACAGCCACCAAATTGACCTACAGATTCAAAATAATCCCTATCAAAATCCCAGATGGCATTTTTGCAGAAGTTGACAAGCTGATTCTAAATTTCATACAGAAATGCCAGGGACTCAGAATAACCAAAACTATCTTTAAAAAGAACAAAGTTTGACTCACATTTTCTAGTTTCAAAACTAACTACAAAGCTATAGTAATCAAGACAATGTGTTATTCGCATTAGGACATATAGATCAATGCAATACAATTTACAGTCCAGAAATAAACCTGTACCTTTATGGTCAATCGATTTTTGACAAGTGTGCCAAGACAATTAAATGGGGGAAGGATAGTCTTTCCTACTGATGGTGCTGGGACAACTGGATATCCACATGTAAAAGAATAAAGTCAGACCCCTACCTCACATCACACACAAAAATTAACTCAAAATGGATCAGATACCCAAATGTAAGAGCTTAACCTATAAAATTCTTAGAAGAAAACACAGGAATAAATCTTCATGACTTTGTGTTAGGCAATGTCTTCTTAGATACAACACCAAAAGCACAAGCAAAAAGAAGAAAAAAACAGATATATTGAATTTCATCAAAATTAAAAACTTTTGTGCTACAAATCATACCATCAAGAAAGGGAAAAGAGGGGCCAGCCCAGTGGCATAGTGGTTAAGTTCATGAACTCCACTTCAGTGGGCTGGGGTTCATGGGTTTGGATCCTAGGCATGGATCTACACACTGCTCATCAAGCCATGCTGTGGTGGCATCCCATATACAAAATAGAGGAAGATTGGCATGGATGTTGGCTCAGGGACAATCTTCCTCACCAAAAAAAAAAGAAGAAAGAAAGGGAAAAGACATCCTACAGAATGGGAGAGTATATTTGCAAAGCATGTATTTAATAAGTGACACATATGTAGGATATATAAAGAACTCTTACAATGCAATAATAAAAAGAGTAATAACAATTAAAATAGAAAATGGATCTGAAATAGACATTTCTCCAAAGATATACAAATGTCCAATAAGAACATGAAAAGATCCTCAATATTACTAGCCATTAGGGAAATGCAAATCAAAACCACAATGAGATTCTCCCTCACATCCCCTAAGATGGCTATAATCAAAAGGACAGATCATAACAAGGGTTGCAAGGACATGGAGGAATTGGAATCCTCATATATTGCTGGTGGGAATGTAAAATTGCACAGCCCCTTGGGAAAAAAACTTACAAGTTCCTCAAAATGTTAAACATAGAGTTACCATTTAATCCAGCAATTGCACTTTCAGGTATATACCCAAGAGAAATGAAAACATATGTACGCACAAAACTTTGTCCACTCATGTTCAAAACAGCATTATTCATAAGAGCCAAAAAGTGGAAACTCAAATTTCCATTAGCTGATAAATGGTCAAAGAAAATGTGGTTATGTCCATACAATGGCATATTATTCAGCCATACAAAGGAATGAAGTACCAATACATGTTACAACATGAATGAACCTCAAAAACATTGTGCTGAGTGAAAGAAGCCAGTCACAAAAGACCACATAGTCTGTGATCCCATTTGCATGACATGTCCAGAATAGACAAATCTATAGAGACAGAAAATAGATTAGTGGTTGCCTGGAGCTTGTGATGGGGTAGGTGACTACCTGAGTGACTGCTGAGTACAAGTTTCCTTTTGAAGATGGCGACAAAGTTCAAAAATTAGATTATGGTCATGGTTGCACAACTCTGTAAATACACTAATATCATTGAATTGTATACTTTAAATTGATAAATTTTATGGTATGTAAATTATATCTCACAAAGCTATAAATTAAATAAACGAGATTAATTTATATATATTTATATAAATTTGTTGTAGAGATATTTTTCTAACAAAGGTGAAAATCCAAAAGTCATAATGAAATGATAAATAAATGTGATTTCATAGAACTAAAGCAAAATCAAGACACCAACAAAATATATGCGACATGTCCATAAAAATCCTTTATTTCCTCATATGCAAAGAACTCCTAAAAATTGATCAGAAAATGACCAAAAAAACCCAATATAAAATGGGGGAATGATATAAATAGAAGAAAATAATACAAAAAGAAGAGAAAATGCAGTGTCCCAAAACATAAGATGGGTAAACTCAGCTGTCTAAAAAATGCTAATTAAAACTATGAGATTTACCATTTTTATCCAGCAGCTTGGCAAGAAATAAGAAAGGTAATAATATCTGAGACTAAAGAGGATGTAAAGATATTGGTATGCTGTTTTTCAGATTGTTAATTGTTACAATTCTTTTGGAGTATCTAGCAAAATTTTAAACATACAAATCCATAAATCCCACATTCTGAAATCTTATGTAAAAAAAGCACTAAGACTTATGGATACATGTATGTATGTATACACACACACACACACACACAGAGGTATGTTTGTTATAGCATTATTTTTAGGTACAAAATCCTGGAACCAATCTGGATGGCCATCAGTTGAACAAGAATTAGTCACTCCATAATTGTTATGGCACATGTATGCTACAGAGTATTATGCATCTGCTAAAAAAATGAGTTAGGTCCATATATACTAATTTGGAGTGATGTTCACAATATAATCTTTAGGGGAAAAAGTCAGCTGCACAAGACAGTGTGCAGTATGATTCTATCTTTGTCAAAAAAATGTACAGGGCCTGGCCCGGTGGCACAGTGGTTAAGTGCACACGTTCCGCTTCGGCGGCCCGGGGTTGGCCGGTTCGGATCCCGGGTGAGGACACAGCACCGTTTGTCAAGCCATGCTGTGGTAGGCGTCCCACATATAAAGTAGAGGAAGATGGGCACAGATGTTAGCTCAGGGCCAGTCTTCCTCGCAAAAAAAGAGGAAGATTGGCAGCAGATGTTAGCTAAGGGCCAGTCTTCCTTAAAAAAAAATGTACGTATGTTATTTACTGCCTTTCTTCTCCCACTGGGATATGCATTTGATGAGGGAATGGACTTTTGTCTATTTTGTTTATTGCTGTATCACCTGTGCCTAGAACAGTATCTGATACACAGTAGGTGCTCAAAATTTTTATTCAATGGATGAATCATTGCTTGTCTATTTCTGTAGGAGCAAGGAGAAGAGGGTGGGAGGGTCCACTCCAGGATATTCATTTCACTTGCCTCTGCAAAAAGGATTATTGAGAGGTAGGAGGAGAAAAGATCACTAACATTTTCTTTGTACATCTTTGTTTTGTCTCACTTGTTAAGAATAAACATATTCATTTTATAATGAAAAAATCTAAAAAATATTATGTTAAAGGGAGAAAAGGAAGATAAGCTAAGAACACCATTACATGGAGAGACACACTCAACTCTTGTCATATCCACTTCTGGGTAGAGAAGAAACGAAGAGACAAGAGCAGATTGAGCTGTTTGGGAGCAGAGAAGACTGTAGGTTATGGGACCGGGTGGGTGCAGGGACCTTCTTTTTTTTACATTCAATTAAGGACTGTTTGTAGATGCTTTATCCATCTAAAGAAATAGATGAATTGAAAATTGCTCCTCGGGGCCGGCCCCGTGGCCGAGTGGTTAAGTTCGCGAGCTCCACTGCAGCCGCCCAGGGTTTCACCAGTTCGGATCCTGGGGTTTGGATCCTGGGCACGGACATGGCACTGCTCATCAAGCTATGCTGAGGTAGCAGCCCACATGCCACAACTAGAGGGACCCACAACTAAAAATATACAACTATGTCCCGGGGGGCTTTGGGGAGGAAAAAAAAAGGAAAAAAATTTCTTTTAAATCTTAAAAAAAAAAAAAGAAAATTTCTCTTCTTGGTTTCAAATATGAGCACATTCACTGCTTGGTGTCTGAAACTATTTCCATTTTGTTTCTACCAATGAGTAACCAATAAGTGCTTGTCTCCATTCTCGTGGCTGCTCTTAGTCACTCTGGACTGGTTCTACTTGGTCACCAGTACCAGCACTCAGAATTCTCCTTAGAGTATACACACCTTTGGTAAAGAGGCCTCGAGCACGTTGCCCTAGTTACTTGGTACTGGAAAAATTGAGGGGTCATACCAGAGCCCAGTCTGATGTAAGCTCCTCGATTGCTGCCTTCTTCATAATAATTGGAAGCAGAAAATACAGTAACAACCTGATTAAAGAAAAAGAGGGTCAGGTTCACAGAGAGTTAGTCCTCAAAAGGTCCTTCAATAAAATCAGAAATAGCTCAATTCTTAAAAAGCAAAAACCAAAGTTCAAAATCCATACAAATGATCTAAATCTGATGGGATTTCGTGTGACTCCATTAGAGAGAAACAAGGCTTTTAAATCAGTGTCCCCAGGAGTATTAACTTCTAGCCACTCATCCTTGCAGTTCATGGCCTTGCAATCCTGTGTACAATTTTAGTTCCATATCCTAGAATACTCCTTAATGCTCAATTTTGCAAATTCTAATTTTCCAAGGGGGCAAGCCTTTATTTTCTTTCCTTGTGATATTTGAACATTCAAATAAAACTTGTCTAGTATCACATTTTTTTTTTGCTTGGAACGGACTGATTTAGAGGGCTTAGGGCCTCACACAAAACCAGTGCCTTAAGGGCAGAGAGAGAGTGGCTAGAATAAGGGATCACACACAACCACTCTGCTGGGAAGGAACCAGCCTTGGAGCCCTGGTGGAGGATGGGAGGGTAATACTAGTCTGTGACAGGAAACCAGTCCTGCCCTAATGAGCATGTCACTTCAGACAAGCCACTGCTATTTCCTCTCCATTTGCTTATTACAAAGAAATCCTAAATAACACTTGCCTTAACCATCTCACAATGTTAGTATGAGCCTCAAATGAACAGAGTTAAGAAAAGTGAAAGTATTTAAATAAAAGGAAATGCCACATAATTTGATATTCCTTTTTATTTATCGCTGTTCACTATTAGAAAGAGGGGCATCCGAGGACAATGTGGGACAAGAAACCAGTTCCTCAGTCCTCACCTCTTTTAGCCTTATCAGACACCACTGAAGGAGCACAACATGCTCCATTTTAGCGGCTGCAGCTAAACTGACCTCAGCGAGTGCCTTGCTAGAGATCACCTACTCAGTGAGTGGAAGGAAAGTATGTTTGGTGGCTCTGCCCTGCAAAGGGAAAGCACAAAAAGGTGGGAGAGAGCAAACCGGGCTCCCTGCTGCCTTCCACGTCCTCTGTGAGGGTAAGTGCAGTCTTAACCCGACTGTACCAGAGAGTTGCCTTGCGGTTAGTAAAGAACAAAGCATTTCTATGAGTGTACTTGGTGTCATGTGTCAGAATTTCCATCTGAGGTTAGGGAAGATAAGAGAAACAAACCAAATAGCTCTCAGTATGAGGGACAGTGAGGTCTCTACAAACAACCTATATGAACCCTACAGTCTCCTATTTCTGTCCACCAGAGTATGGCCTTTTGTTTTGGTACTAGGGAAAACATCTTCCCATGGGCCTCTATGTCAGACACATCCTATAAAAAAAGACTCTGCTTGGGGGGAGGATATCTGTGATGATGTCACCAACAATGTCAGCTTACCTTCCCATCATGGCAGATTTCGTACCCTTCGGGCTTACATTCATGAGACCTAACAAGCATCTTCAACTGGTATCTATTAAGAATCTTGGAGGTAATATCTGGTCCAAAATAGCAGCCCCCTCCTCGACTTGTGTTTGGGTAACAGCCTCTTTTGCCTCTGGGATCACTCCACAGAATATCGATAACCTTGGAACAACAAACCAGATTAGGCTGCTGCTTACAGGTGAGAGTCTATCTTTCCAGATTCTAACTTCTTTGCCAGAAAGATTAACCCAAGTTACCCCGAAGTCTTACTGTTTCTCATTCCTCCTTCAAAATTGTTTCATACTCATCTCCATGAATCCTTTCCAGAATAATTTTAATGCCCATAGCCACCACAATCCCTTTCCGCTCATCCCCAATAACCAATGTAGCGATAACAATAACCAATGCAGCAATACTTAGCAATCATAAAGAGTCAGCCCTTGGCTTTTTTTTTTTTTTTGGTCTTTAAAAATTCCATCACAGGGGCCAGCCCGGTGGCGCTGTGGTTAAGTGTGCACGTTCCACTTCGGCGGCCCCAGGATCGGGTGGTTCGGCAGCTGGTTCGGATCCCGGGTGCTGATGTGGCACTGCTTGTCAAGCCATGCTGTGGTAGGCGTCCCACATACAAAGTAGAGGAAGATGGGCATGAATGTTAGCTCAGGGCCAGTCTTCCTCAGCAAAAAGAGGAGGACTGGCAGTAGTTAGCTCAGGGCTAATCTTCCTCAAAAAAAAAAAATAATAAAAATAAAGTAAAATAAAAATAAAAATTCCATCACAATTATTTCACAGTTTGCTGAATCTACAAAGGTCTTTTCTCTTTAAAATCTTCCCTGTCCTGTGCAAAGGAGAAAGTAGCTCCCGACAATGAATACACATTAGGTGTTCTTAATATGTTCAAAGAAATAAAGTAGGTCTCTCAACTTGGCACTGGTTTTTGTCCTGTTGAGCACATGGCATGAAGAAGCCTTTGCTTTTTCCTACTATAAATACAGACAGCTATTCTTCCAAGAACACCTCCTAAAGCATTGCCTTCACTGTTTGCCCCCTTGATAAATACATCCTCAGTTTCAGCAATACCTTTAGTCACTGATTGCTTTGAACAGTGTCTTCTCCTAAATCCACAAGTACTTTATTAGCATAACATTTCCTTTTGGGACCGAAAAAGGCAAATACAGGCTACACGATGTCCAGCACTGAAGACTCAAGTTTCTACGAATATTTTTCATAGAAAATTGGGGGCTCCTTCTTTGTGGCTCTGATCTACATATGTTTTGACAAATAAAAACGGCAAGCAATAGGAGATATTGGAGTATATGAAGAAGACATGTGGTGTAAACCTAATTTGGCCTGACTGTTTTTTCCAAAAGGGCCTGACTGTGGCCATTGAGTACGCATTGCATATCTGCTTTAAAACATTTCCTATGGCAAGAACAAAAGGCCCTTGAGATACAGGTGCAACTTCCCCCCACATTGGCATTTCCTTAGGGATAAGCATCTTTCCTTAGGCTAGGAACTGATTGCTGCACTCACCTTTGACCACCCAGCTCACCTGTGACCACTCGGTTCGAGACAACAGACTGCCACCCTGCTGTGTTCACTGAGACAGAAGACCTACCTGCTGTTTCATCAATTGCTGTGCTGATAGAGCAGTCTCGCGACTATTGTAAAAGGGACATTTCAATCCTATGTGAAACATCCTCTCTGGGGGTATATAACCACTCTGTGCACCCCACTTCTTCGGGGCCCTTTCTTCCTTCGGGAAGAAAAGCCCCGGGCCATGGTCCTCAGATTTCAGCTCAGAATAAACTCTTCCAAATTTTACGGATTATTTTCATCAACAGTTTCTTTCTTTAAATGTTTCCTATAGGAGCTTAAGCAGTAGTGAGAAAAACTAGCTTTGTCACTAATGCTGTGCAACCTTGAGAAAACTCTCTGAGTCTCATTTTCTAGATCTTTAAAATCAGAGGTTTAGGCTAGATGACTTGTGAAGCATCTCAAAATTCTGAAAAACTATGATCCTGAGTCCGTATTTTCCATGTTTCTTTTGAGGGCATGAAGAAGCATGCATTTTAAGTTGTGCAGTTATTCTAATGGGTCCAAATCAGGTCTTAAGAAGAAGACCAGAAAAGGCTGTCCCACTAAACCTGACTGTACACCCATTTACAGGTTTGGTATTGAAGGAGAGCCAGAAATAAGTGAGGGGAAAGACAGTGAGGTGGAGAGAAGAATAGAACTGGTAGGAAAGCTACTCTGGAAAGATAAACAGCTGGTCAGAACTGAACGCTTGGCACCAGGAACATACCAGACACTTTCAGAGTTTTTGATGATTGATTGAAGTAAGAATTAAAACCACCCAAAGAAAATTCAGAGCAGGTTTCTCCTTTCTCTCCCACTGAATTCCAACATTGGCACCACCCTATCCTACAAATAAATGGAACCCATTTACTTTGCTGGTGTCTGTGACAAAAATAACACTTGCATTTTAAACTGAGCCATATCTGGCTCTTACACCATGAATTCATGTTTGGAGGACATGATTTGACCTTTAGTATAATGAAGGAGGAAACATGAACTCAAGGAGTTGTGTTTCATAAGGAGGGGATTAAGTTTTAAATTCCTACATGAGATGCAAGTCATTTATAGCAAAAATTACCCTTAGAAAAAAACCTCTTAACTTACCCTTAAAGCACAGTATACATGATTTTGTATCTACAACCCTATACAATAATGTGGATGTGTGAATATTTTATATATGTGATAATGTACAATATGATACATTATCTGAAAATAAAATTTTACTTTTTCTCCTTTTGCCATACACATATAGTTAAAATTTACATAAATTAAATGTATATATGATGAGACTTTGTTGAACTAGAATAAGCATTGACCAAGGAGTTAACTCTTCAAGTGTCACCTGTGTCACCTTGGACAAGGCACTTAACCTATTCAGGCCTTAGTCTGCTCCTCAGTGAGATGAGGAAGATATATCTAACACTCAGTTTTCTTTGATTCAAAGTCATAAGGGGTTTCAGTTTCACAGAAATGAACTTCTTCAGGATCATCCGTTCCATGAGTTCTGCCTTTCTTTTTCTCTGTCTAGCATTCATTCACTTGACTAGGTTTACCCAGACTGTGGCCACAACATAGATTTAATTCCGAGGCTCACAAACACAAAACTCTACGCAGGGGCTTTTGTTGGTGAAACAAACTCTTCAGCAGAGACAGTCCTTCCTCTCAACAACATCCTCTGAAATGCACGGGCCTTTTGGGTGGTTAAGTGCACGAAAGAATAATTATTCACAATATTCTTTCCTCAAATTTTTCAAACCAGAAATGGGAAGTTTTACTGAATGACAGCTTTTATATGACCTGGTCAACAAAAATCTATTTGTATCTCAGCCTTTAAACACCCTAAATCCAAAATAAATCCTGCAAGAAGTGCCCTGTGCTTGTCTGCAGTTTTAAGTAATCCAGTTTCCAAAAGTATACTTTGGGAGAGAGTTAATAGCTCTGAAAAATGTGTCTAAATGCTTTTCTTCTTCTAAGACACTAATACTATAGATTCACTATCCTTTTGTATTTTCCCTTAGTTATGTGTCCTCCTTCCAGCTTTTGAACATGTCATTTTAAAAGCTGTGCTCAGCGCAACCCTTCCAGCCAGGTACCTAGATTTCTTTAGATGCCTACTCCTTGTCTACCCATTGCCTCATTGGATGAGGGGAGATTAGAGTAGTTCATTTCCTTCTTGAGACCTCCTATTACTCCTAAGTGACCTTTCCCTTAGAAAGAGAGCATGGGCATTAGAGTGCGAGCTAGGAAAAAATCCTGCTCTATCATTTAGTGTCTAGCCAAGTGACTACAAACAAGCCGTTTCACTCCTGGAAGCCTTCTTAATGAGGCTGACTAGCCTATTTAAAATTTCACTCTACCTCCAGTTCTTCTGCTTCCCCTCAGCTTGTTCTAGTTTTTAATTCTTTCCATAGAATTTCTCACTTAACATATTATATCATTTACTTGCTTATTATTATGTTGTTATTTAACTCCTCCCATTAGAATGTAAGCTCCATGAGGTAATAGAACTTTGGTCATTGACATTCTCAAAAGTCTAGAAAAGTGCCTGACATATAGTAGGTGCTGAATAAATACTTGTTAAATGAATGAATGAAGACAAGGGAGTCACTTGGGATATAAATAATTAAAATTATTTTTTAAACCTCTCTGGCCTCCTTCTTGTTGCAAGTCTGTCCTAAAGGAAGAGTACCACACTTGTCTCTAAACAGTGACTTAGCTATGAGTACATATATCTCCCACACTTCAGTGAACATAAGATAGAATTAAATTATAGCACTCTGCCAAGAATGCACTTCCATGAGCATGGGACAAATAAAGAGCCTATGGTCTTTATTATAACATAACTTATAGGTATTAAGAAATAAAGTAGTCATGAAATGTGTTTTTATCTGGAAATTTCAACTCTAGCTAACTAAACTATGCATATCCACTATATACCAGGAACTGAGGAAAGAAAATTAAGGGCACAACTGAAATTATTAAAACATTGGGAATGATATTCTGGTCAATCTTACCCTGCGTCAGCTCTAGTCATGTACATGGAGTCTGTAAGATGCCTCATCTATATTGTTGGGGCAGGTGGAGGTTCTATTACAGAATAATGACCCCCAGTCCCCTCCTTCCCACTTCTTAAGGTTCCATCTCTCTATAATTCTAACTCATCTAAGCTTCTAGAGGCCACAATTTCCTTTTTGTGCAACTCCAATATCTTTCGCATCATCCTTTTTATTCACCACAATCCTAGAAGTGCTTGTTCTAATTTTCGGTCTTCGGAATTTGGATGTCAAAATTTAAGGAGGCATCTTTTCCTACTTGCTATAGGATACCTCTTATTCTTACTTGATTTTTAAATACTTTGGATGCAGAATCCAGTAATGAATTCTATTTCTCTCTTACTACCCCCTCCCCTCACTCTCTATCCCCCACCTCTTTCTCCTCATTGATTAGATTATATCTACAGCAGAAATCAAATTTGGGCAACATTGTCCGCAATCAAGGTATAAGGGTACAGAATCAAGAAATAGAGGCTTCTTGGGGGTAAGCAATTAGAAGTCTGGTAGTTCCATGACAGTAGTAGCAACAGTAGACCAGCTAGAAGTTTAAAAGACAGAATCAGGGAAAGAGACAGATGAGAAGAGCCCTCTTGGGCCAGAATAAGCCTCAAAGATTGTTAACACCCTGCCGTGCAAAAAAGTTCAACTTTAATTGGATCAGACTGTAGAGCTATTTGTGAATCCCAAGGCATTGCTAAAAACAATAGTGCAATCAGCTGGCAGTTAGTGAAGGCTAATAGCTGGATCTGATACAAAGAGAGGCAGATGGGCCAAAGCTTAAAGGGAAAATCAGGGAAAGAGACAAAAAGAACCTAGCCAAAACTACAACCATCCCTAGTAGTCAGGGAAACTGAGTGCATGCCCAAGGCAGCACCCTGTGAGGAGTGACATCAGGGGCTACACACTGAGAGGGAATAGACTTCACTGAACTAGTCCACACAAGCCACTAAACAAATAAATGAGCAAAAAAGCAAATAACAACAACTAGCCCCAGAGGAGTGTGGGAATAACTATCTAGAGTTATTATGATGTATTACCTAAAATGTCCAGTTTTCAACAAAAAAATTACAAGACATGCAAAGAAAAAAATACACAGGGAAAAACAAGCAGGCAATAGAAATTGCCTTTGAGGGGATTAGATGTTGACTTAGCAGTCAAAGATTTCAAAGCTACTATTATAAATATGTTCAAAGACAGATATATATAAAACACTCTGCTCAACAAGAACAGAATACATTTTCTTCTCAAGAGCATGAGGCACATTCTCCAAGACAGACCATATGCTAGGCCATAAAAAAAGCCTCAATAAGTTTTAAAAGGATTTAAATCATGCAAAGTATGTTCTCCAACCACAACTGAATTCAAGTAGAAATCAATAAGAGAAGGAAACATGGGAAATTCACAAATATGCAGAAATTAAACAACACACTCCTAAATAACATATGGGTTAAAGAAGAAATCACAAGGGAAATTAGAAAGTTCTCTGAGATGAATGAAAATGAAAACACAACATAGCAAAACTTATGGGATGGAGCTAAAGCAGTACTTACAGGAAATTTTACAGCTTCATTAAGAAAGGAAAAAATCTCAAATCAATGACATTGACTTTCACCTTAGGAAACTAGAAAAAGAAGAGCAAATTAATCTAAAGTAAGCATAAGGAAGGAAATAATAAAGATTAGAGCAGAAATAAATGAAAGAGAGAATAGAAAACTAGAGAAAAGCCAATAAAACCAAAAGTTGGTCCTTTGAAAAGATCAATAACATTGACAAACATTAGTGAGACTGACCAAGAGAAAAAGAGGGAGACTCAAGTTACTAAAATCAGGAATGAAAGAGGGGACATGACTACTGACCTTATAGAAATTTAAATATATATAATATATATATTATATAACATACATATTTATGTAATACTACAAACAACTCTAGAGCAACAAATTAGATAAATTAGATGAAGGACAAATTTCAAGATACAAACTATCAAGACTACCAAGATACAAACTACTCAAGAAGAAATAGAAAATCAGAATAGAACTATAGCAAGAAACAAGATTGAATTAGTAATTTTAAAACTCCTACAAAGAAAAGCCTAGGCTCAGATGGTTTCACTGGTGAATTCTACCAAACATTTTAGGAAGAATTAATATCACTCCTTCACAAACTCCTCCAAAAATAGAAGAGGAGATAACACTTCCCAATCCATTCTATGAGGCCAAATTTATACTAATACAAAGACATCATAAGAAAAGAAAACTATAAAACAATATCCTCTATGAATGTAGGTGTAAAAATCCTCAAAAAAATATTAGCAAACTGAAGCCAGCAACATACAAAATGGATTACACACCATGACCAAGTGAGATTTATCCCAGGAATGTAAGGTTGGCTTAACATCTAAAATTAATCAATGTAATACACCATACTAATAGAATAAAGGACAAACACCACACATCTTAATAGATGCAGAAAAAGCATTTGACAAAATCCAACACCCTTTTGTGATAAAAACACTCAACAAAGTAGGCACAGAAGAGTACTTCCTCAATCTGATGGAGGACAATTAATATACAAACACAAAGCTAATATACTTAATGGTGAAAGACTGAATGCTTCTCTCTAATATCAGGAATAAGACAAGGACGTCTATTCTTACCACTTCTATTCAACACTGTACTGGAGGTTCTAGACAGGGCAATTAAGCAAGAAAAAGAAATAAAAGGCAGCCAGATTGGAAAGGAGGAAGCAAAATTATTTCTATCCACAGATAACACACTCTTGTATATAGAAAGTCCCAAAGGAATCAACTAAAAACCATCAGAATGAATAAACAAGTTGATCAAGGTTCACAACACAAGATCAGTATACAAAAGTCAATTGTATATCTATACACTGGCAATGAACAATCCAAAATGTAATTAAGAAAACAATTCTAGTTACAATAGCACCAAAAATACTTAGGAATAAATTAGGAATAACTTTAACAAAACAAGCACCTCAGTGTATGTGATTATAAAACACTGTTGAAATTAAAGATCTAAATAAATTCATGTTCATGGAACTGAAGATATAATATTGTTAAGATTGCAATTGTACCCAAATTTATCCACAGACTCAAGGCAATCTCTACCAAAATCCTAACCGTTTTTTGATAGAAATTGACAAACAGATCCTAAAATTCATATGGAAATTCAAGGGACCCAGAATAGTCAAAACAACCCAGAAAAAGAAGAACAAAGGTGGAAAACTCACATTTCTCAATTTCAAAACTTTCTACAAAGCTACAGTAATCAAAACTGTATAGTACTGATGTAAGGATAGACATATAGATCACGGAATAGAATTAGGAGTCTAGAAATAAACTTTCATATTTATAGTCAATTGATTTTTGATAAGAGTGCCAAGAAAATTCAATGAAAATAGTCTTTTTAACAAATGGTGCTGGGATAACTGGATATCCACATGCAACAGAATGAATTTGGACACCTACCTCACACTGTACAGAAAAATTAACTCAAAATTAATCAGACACCTAAACGTAAAAGATAAAACTATGACTCTCTTAGAAGAAAACATAGGAATAAATCTTCATGACTTTGGGTTAGGCAATGGCTTCTTAGATACACCAAAAGTGTAAGAAAAAAGAAAAAATAGATACGTGGATTTCATCAAAATTAAAAACTTCTGTGCTGCAAATAATACCATCAAGAAGGCGAAAAGATAGCTCACAGAATGGAGAGAATATTTGCAAATAATATAAGGGATAAGGGATTTATATCCAGAATATATAAAGAACTCTTATAATGCAATAACAAAAATAAATAATTTTCAAAATGGGTAAAGGATCTGAATAGACGTTTCTCCAAAGAAGATATACAAATGGCCAATAAGCACATGAAAAGATGCTCAGCATCATTAATCATCAGAGAAATGCCAAAATCACGATGAGATTACATCTCACACCCACTAGAATGGTCATAATCAAAAGGATAGACAACAATTGTTAGGATGCAGAGAAATTGGAACTTTCATACATTGGTGATTGCAATGTAAAATAGTGCAGTCACTTGGGAAAACAATTTGGAAGTCTCTCAAAATGTTAAATAAACTTAGAATTATCTTATGACCCAGCAATGCCGCTCCTAGGTATATACCCATAAAAATGAAAACACATGTCCACACAAAAACTTGCATGCGAATGTTCATAGCAGCATTATTCTTAACAGCCAAAAAGTGGAAACAACCCATATGTCCACCTACTGATGAATAAATAAGCAAAAGTGCTATATGCATATAATGGAATATTATTCAGCAATAAAAAGAAAATGAAGCACTGATACATCCTACAACATGGATGAACTTCAAAACATTGGGCTGAGTAAAAGAAGCCAGACACAAAAGATTGCATATTGTATGGGTCCATCTCTATAACATGTCCAGAATAGGCAAATCTATAAAGACCAAAAGTAGACTGGTAGTTGCCTAAGGCTGTGGCGGGCACCGGGGGTGGGGGAGGTGGCTGGAGAGGGAGTGAGGAGTGACTGGTAATAGGTATACAGTTTCTTTTTCAGGTGAATGAAAATGTTCTAAAATTAGATTGTGGTGATAGTTGCACAACACTGTGAATATACCAAAAACCATTGAATTACATACTTTAAATGAGTGAATTACATGGTATGTGAATTAGATCTCAATAAAGCTGTTAAAAATATAGTGATAATTCAGAGAAAAGGATATGATGTGCTTATAAGTCACTTTTATCTATATATTGTAACGGACAACATCATCTATGCTACGTCTTCCTTTGCCATTGTGGTGAACACTTTGATTACCTACCTGTTCCCATTCATGCTTTGTTAACTGTTCAGAGAGGGATCCACTTGTTCTGACTCCTCGAGGCACAGCAGTTGTACCTACTTTATTTTTCAAGTCAGCAGCATAGTCTTCATCTATTGGAAATGGTGGCATCAGCACAGATTTCATCTAGAAAACAAATTCACGCTTTAGCCAAACCCTATGCTTACTGTGCTCCATGCAGAAACTTCAGTACCAGTTGCTATTGTCTATATTGTGCCTCAACTCAGTGAAAAACACATGGTCACCTTTTCCATCTCACCCACCTCCTTTATCTTATTGATCCAGTGATCTCTATAAAGTGGGCCTATTAAATTGTTTGTACATTTTTCAACTCAAGACACTGCCACACAGGAAAAGTTTCCCATTAGAGTTTCTAAAGGACCCCAGAGGCATAGATGTCAGTGCTAGACATGTTCTGAGGCATCATCACAGGGAATGGAAGCTACTAAGGGAAAACTAGTCTCCCGAGCTTTTATCCATACATGGGTCTAAGAGAGAACCAAAAGGCTTTGAGTTCAGAAACACCTCTTAAGATGGCGGCTGCTTTTCATTTTATTGTGTTTTCCAGGAGAAATGAAATGAAAGAAAGTACATCTGTGTCCAGGCAAGTACTCAGAGGACAGAAGTTGAAAACTTTGGAAGCCCTTCAACTTAAATGCGATGTGGTTCACAATCTGACCCTGCCAGCAATTGGTTATGTTCTCTAATCTTAGCAACAAAAGTGATGCATTTCTTTGGAAAATAAAATGTCTTTCTGATAGCACATCAATTACTATAATCCCTTCTTCATTCCCTTACATAACTTGAGACTACAATTTTATACTTGTTTCTTTATACAAAACAATTTGAAACAATACTTCTGTTACTTTGGTGGCCTTAGTTCAGTGATGGACAATTCTCTGTGGTAGGCACTTAGTTTCTTCTATAAACTAGGGTGGATATGAAATCTTACCTTTATTTTTCAAAAATAAAATTGAATCTTAGTCTGAGGTCCTGTCTCATTGAAATGATTGGAAACTCAATCTCAGCTATTATTAGTGAGTTCACAGCCTACCCTCCCCGTCTCCCCCCAGCAAATGTCCCCAGGTCTTAGCAGAGCAGAATATTCTGGGAAGACACTCTGGACTTTGGTCCACACAATTTACTTCTGATAAGCTCATTGGGCAAGGCCACATGGTCTTTCTCTCTCTCTCTCTCTTTTTTTTTTTTAAAGATTGGCACCTGAGCTAACAACTGTGGCCAATCTTTTTTTTTTTCTGCTTTATCTCCCCAAATCCCCCCTGGTACATAGCTGTATATCCTAGTTGCAGGTCCTTCTAGTTGTGGCATATGGACGCCGCCTCAACGTGGCCTGACAAGCGGTGCCATGTCCGCGCCCAGGATCCGAACCCTGGGCTGCTGCAGCAGAGCGCGCGAACTTAACCACTCAGCTACGGGGCCGGCCCCCCCCCCCTTTTTTAATTGATCTAATGTTGGTTTATAATTATATAGGTTTCATGTATACAACATTATCATTTGACTTCTGTATAAACTACAGTGTGTTCACTACCAAAATCTAGTTTCCATCCATCACCCACATGGTCTCTTAAGTATGTGTGGCTCTGCTGTTTCCTATGCCGCTTGGGATCAGGATACTTTGCCCAGCCCCCGCAAAGTACCACACTATCATTTTCTCCTGGGGATCCTACTAGCCATCCTTGCCCCCGCAAGGTACCACACTATCATTTTCTCCTGGGGGTCCTACTAGCCATCCTTTCCCCCACCTCCTGCCAGGGAGTTTGAAGAATATTAAATCAGAGTCTTAGTCTTATAGAACCTTCCTTCTCTGTCCCTTTGCATTGACTCACCAACCTGCCTACGTTACAAAATGCCTTTAAGGAACCTAGAATGGAGGCTATCATCAGGTTCCCCCAACTCTACCCCTCCCCTATTAACAATCAGACCACCACAACAGGAGTAAAGCAGGAAGCATGGTCACCCCTACACTTGGAGGGTCCTAAGGGATGGGAAAGTGGGGGTTATAAAATTGGACTTGAAAATCTACTTTTGTATCTCATCTGGTAGAGTTCCAAAGGCTTGAACCTACTGCTTTCATTACAGTTCAATTATATTTAATATAACAAGTATGTGCTGCCAATTCAACCTCACTCTAGGTGACAGAAGACACAAAAAAGATACAAGTCAAATTTCTATCTTTAAAACCAGTCTCATGAGTAGATGGAACAATGATCCCCAAAGGAGACGAAATTTGAGGTATCCTGAGACAATTCCTGGCCCCAAAACTTCTCCCCAGGGTCTGTCTTGGTGACTGAAATTCCAACCTCAGTTCCAAGTATCAGGAAAAAGAGGAGGGAGTCGGAGAAGAGAGCTTTATGTTCAGAGCTCACTCTATGCTGTTTTCTTCATCTAGGTAATTGTATTTAATCTTTCCTACAATTCAATACGGTAGGCATTTTTAGCTTCAATGTACAGTGTGGAAACTGAGGCTTAGAAAACTTTAGTACCTTGCCCATTCACCCAGCCACAAAGTGGCAGAGCAGAGCATAAAGCTAGCTACACCTGTCTGATGTCAGAGCCTCATTGTTTACAAGGTCCAGATGGCTCTCAACTTGGGGTTTCCAAAGAAATAGTAATGGGCATTCCAGAGACATGCTCTCAATATTTCACAAAGCCCTAGAGAGGGCTAGCTGCTCAGGCTAAACTCAGGAAAAGTTTCCAATCTGATCAATTGGTAGTGGCTGCCATGACTGATTAGCACGGTTGTCACAGGGCAGGTGGTGGTGGTGGAGTGTCACATTCATGCCATGTTCTTGCCAATATGTGACTGACAGAAACATGTTCCCTTGCTCTTGGCTAGAATCATATCCACTCATTATGTTAACACTGACTATTTCATGTTGATCGAAACATCTTATTGGCTTGACTATTTGCTTGATATCATGAGAAAGATGCCTTAAACTTAGAGTGGCCTTAAAATTTATTGCAATGGGATGCTTTTTGAGAGTAAAAGAAGGCACTATTAACAATTACACCAGGACAACAGGTGTAAACCAGGAAGTATGGTTATCACTGGGTGAGGTTGGGGACAGAGTATGTAAAATTACCACAGAATCAGGACAGGTGTTGTGAAAAACTTCCTATCCAGTTTTGTCTTAGGTTTGCCCTGCTTTGATCTTAAATCTCTTAGGAGATATTCAACGAACATTGACTAAGTGCTTACTACATCTTAGGTGCTGGGGTTCTATCAGTGAACCAGAGAAGCAGGGAAGGATAGTAAACAAACAGTATCATAATTCCTTATTTAATTTTGGTAACCGTTAAGAAGGATATGTACAAGGGGCTTGAGAGCATATAGAAGGGAATCTGGTATAGTCCGGAGGTCGTGGAAGGCTTTCCAGAGGGGGTACATATTTAAGTTGAAATTAAAAGGATAAGAAGAGGGGCCAGCCAGCTGGCATGGCAGGTAAGTTCACGCACTCTGCTTCAGCAGCCCTGAGTTCACAGGTTCGGATCATGTGCACAGACCTATACACTGCTCATCAACTCAGGCTGTGGCAGCATCCCACGTACAAAATAGAGGAAGACCTGCACAGATATTAGCTCAGGGACAATCTTCCTCAAGCAAAAAGAGGAGATTGGCAATGCATCTTAGCTCAGGGCCAATCTTCCTCACCAAAAAAAAAAAAAAAAAAAGGATGAGATGAAATTAACAGCAATATTATCATTCACATGTGTATAAAGGTTCCAAACACTCAAGGTGAATAGCAGTCATATTTCTGTCTATATCAAGCTAAATTCCGGCGCTAGACCTCAGTTGCCTAGATTGGTTGGAAACTGATTATCAGTCTCTGAGGGGTAAGGGTTCAGGTTTCTCACTAGGACCATATACAATCATCTGGCTCCAGAGCGGCTATTGGTTCTCACGCCCACGTGACACCCCCTATGCCCCTGGTCTGAGGGCTTTGGCTGGCCTCTGGTACAGGAGGAAGACAACTCCATCACTTTGCAAGGCCCAGCCAAAGGAATCCTTCACTAAGCGTGGGAGCATTACAGGCCCCACATAGGCACTTCCCTTGGAGGTTCTATACATGTTCCTGCTCTGCTTCTGTTGTACTTAATACGATTACTTGGGTTTAAAATATTTCCCCAAAAATACCCTGAGCCGTTTGGAGTATAGTATAAGGGAAATCATATCAATTCAGAAACAAATTGCTGAGTGATTCCACTTCTCTGAAGTATCTAGAGTAGTCAAATTCATAGAGACAGAAAGTAGCATGGTGGTTGGCAGGGGCTGGAGGGGGGGGAATGGGGAGTTATTGTTTAATGGGTAGAGCTTCAGTTTGGGAAGATAAAAAGTTCTGGAAATGGATGGTGCTGGTAGTAGTGATGGATGCACAACAATGTGAATGTACTTAATACCACTGAATTGTACACTTAAAAATGGTTAAAGTAGTAAATTTTATGTTACATATAGTTTACCACAATATTAATTAATTAGAGATTTTAATTTTTAAAAGTCAGGGTTTGTTACTTTTAGAAACTACACGAAATGCCAACATTTCCACATTTTCCCATTTTCATCATGAATTAAAAAAATATTTTCCATATATAGAGGCTACCCAGTTAGTTATTTATCATGTAATCATAGATTTTCTTAAAATTTGTACTAATCTTTTTTTTTTTTAAGATTGGCACCTAAGCTAACAACTGTTGACAATCTTCTTTCTTTTCTTTCTGCTTTTTCTCCCCAAATCCCCCAGTACATAATTGCATATTTTAGTTGTGGGTCCTTCTAGTTGTGGCATGTGGGATGCCGCCTCAGCGTGGCCTGACGAGCGGTGCCATGTCCACACCCAGGATCCGAACCAGCGAAACCCTGGGCCGCCGCAGCAGAGCATGTGAACTTAACCACTCGGCCATGGGGCCGGTCCCATGCACTAATCTTTTCAGAGTTACAACCATTAAAACACAAATGAATACAAAATAATAAATGGAAAGAGGTATGTATCCCCTTATAAATTTCTGAGATGAGATTCATGTAAACATTGCTTCTTACTTTGTTTCTTTCCATATGATGGAGTAAATTCAAGTCTGTGGACTCTGATATCCCACCATGTATGACCAGGACTTCATTATCAATGATTGTACCAATTGGGAGCCAGGTATAGACGTCTTCCAAGAGTTGCAAGATTTTTCTTCCATGTAGCTGTAAGTTAGAGCTTGAGTTAAGTTTTATTTTTCGGATAGGTTCAAGTCTATTGAATAGTCCCAACGTATGGACAAAAAGCAAGTTTTCATGCCACCCAAAGGATGTCAGCATGGAGTCACTAATCCTCTAGCATGCATTAGCTATGTCTTTTGATTCTATATTTTTGATACTTTGACATCTTGGTGCCTTGCTGATCCTGGAGGAGATGTTGCCCCTCCCAGGGCTAGCTAATTCCTAGAGATAGTAAATGACCGGCCTTTCCTATGCAAACCAACCAATTCAGAGCCCACTCTCCCAACTACCTCCTTTAGGGAGCTCTCACACTCAGGGCCACTATTCATTCCCCTCCCCTAATCATCCCAGGGCCAGGTATCAGATAACCTTGGACAACCTGTATGCCCTAGAGTCTGCTGAAATTATTCAAACTAGCCAATGGTAAACCTGCTTACACTGCCTCACCCATTCCTTCCCACAGAAACCACAATAAAGGCTCTTGTCCACGTTTTTCCCCTTGCTCCCTCTGCCTCTGACCAACTCTGGTGCTTCCCCATGTGGTCCCCAGTGTGGTGTGCCATGACTCCTAAAAAGTAAAAACCTTTTCCTTTATGACAGTCATTTCCATGTCTCCATGTTTTACCATACCTGAGTAAAACAAATCCTGGGAATCTTTAAAATAATAGAATATGTTTGTATTTATGCTGAAACTTACACAAAAGTTACAAAGAAAAAGCTTGGTTTAGTCCAGGAAGAAAATTAGATCTCTACCATGGCCAGGGCTTCCTGCTGTGCTTTTTTATTTATTGGCATGGATTCTGACTAGTTCTCCCATCACCCTTCCTGAAGGCTCTTTTTTTACTTCTATGTATAAACAGCAAAGGGAATGCAAAAAAAAAAAAAAAAAGTATATGGGTCTTACCTTATATTTATGCAAAACTTCTTTTGTGAAGCCATATCTGAAAAAAACAATGGGATTTAAACTACTTAATTAAATGTTGACAACTCTTACTTACATGAATCATGCAAAATGGGGAACCCTTGACATCTCATTATCACAAGAACTCAAGAAACTAGACTTTAGTTGGAACTGACTACTACTTACCCAAGTCTTTGCCAGGTATGATGGGAAAAAACAAAAGCAGCCAATGACATCATCCCTCCCCTCAAGGAGCTTAGAGTATAGTACAGTATAGTATAGTACAGCATAGAAAGAAGATAAATTTTCATGAAACAATTACAAAACAACTTAAGAAATACATAGTAGGTATAGGTTATATAAATGCTGCAAGTATTCAGAGCAGTGTGCTGTGGCAGCTGGGGGAAGCTGTGTGGGAGAATGCTTTTCATTTACAGTAGAATTTCTCAGACAACCTACATCTTATAGTAAATGAATGATTGGGGGGACAAAAAGACTGAAAAAAGACAAAGAAAAGCCTAGAAGATAAGTTGACTCTTTATACTTTCTCTGATATAAATACCATGTAATGGTATTGAAGGTTTTAATAGAAAGTGTCGAGAATGTTAATGCCTGAATAGCAGTCACTAAGGGAAATTTAATGATAGAAATTTTTTTCAATTACTTTTCCTTGCCTTAGGATAATAATATACACTCTTAATACCCAACACGGTCAAGTCAGAACAAAGCATACTAACTCCGGGTTTCCATGCAAATCATGTCAGGTCAGGCTTCTACAGTGTAACATTATGTTTTCTGAGATGAATTCAGTCCTGTACTCACCAAAGGTGTCCATGTTGTTAAATCCAAAGGACACTTTGCAGTCCTCATCTTTCTTGCCCTCTCTGAAACACTAAATACAGTTGACTACCCAATCCTTCTGGGAAACTTTTCCTCTCTGGACTTCTGGGACAGTCAACTCTCTTGGCTTTCCTCCTACCTTTCTGGCAATTTTGAACCTCCTTTGCAAGTTCTCCTCTACCCAGCCTGAAATGTTGGAGTTCCTTCAGAGTCTGTCCTAGGCCCTCGTCTCCCTTCACTTTCTCCCTTGGCAATCTCATCTGTGCCCAGGGCTTCACTTACTACCTACGCGCCAATACTGCAGAACAATGCTCCAAGCCACACTTCATTTCTGAGCTCTGGACACGTATACTCAACAGCACCTCAAATCATCTTACCCCTAACTGAATTCATCATTCTCCCTCATCCCAACTTTTTCCTCTTATCGTGTTTCCAATATCAGTGAATGATGCTGCTGTACCCCTAAACTCAAGCCAGAAACCTGAAGGTCATCCTTGATTCTCTCTTTTTTCAAGTCCCCCATATCACATCACCAAGCCTTAAATCATCATTGTCTAAACTCCTCTTGAATCTACTTCTTTGCACCTCCATCCCCATCACCCTAGTCTAAGTAAGACTCCATCACCTCTTCCTTCAACTACTTCCTAATTGGCCTCCCCATATCCAAATTACTCTTCCTCCTGCATTTTAAAATACAAATTTATAATACTCTTCAATGATTTTCTCTTGTCCTCAGAAGAAAGTCCAAATTCCTTTGCATGATCCAACTATTTCTTATGTCTCCAGCCCTATCAGGCACCATCCTGTTCTTCAGTCTATGCTCCCACCCCCCCTGAACTTCTTTCAAGTCTAAAAGTCTTTTCCCAAGCTCTACATAAGTTGTGCCTCCACTGTGGAACACTGTTTCCCATAGCCCCACCATGGCCCTTTCTTGATTGCCTAATTTATCCTTCAGGTCTGGCTAACGCCATGCTTCTATGAGAGACCCTTCCATCACCTGTCAGACAGGTTGGATCCCCCAATTTACAAATTCATCACACTCGAAAAACCTATTCAACTCTCACGTCTTCCCTGCTAGACATAAACTTTCTGAGGGCAAGGGCCATATCTCTTTCATTAACCATTGTAGGCACTAGATAAATATGATTGGCTAACTGAATAAATAGAAGGATAAACGGCATGTCCAAATAAAAGTATTGAGCTATATTATGCATAATGGGCTTCTGACAATAGCCTTGGGATTTTTGCTTCTTCATAGTCTTAGCATTTGCTTCCACACCTAAGAATTATATTGAAACTGTACTCTTGGGCCAAGTGCCAGAACTGCCCCAAAGGCAAAACTAATCAGTTGCTGAGCTTTGATCAGAGCACTCAAAAGCCCAGGACCAAAAGCATGAAATATGTCATGCCTTCTACCACCCTAGAGCAAACTGGATTCTGTTTTTCATAAAACAAGGAACAAAAAACAGGAAAAAGGAGGAGGGGGCAGGTAGTGGGGGAGGAGAAGGAGGAATGGGGAAGAAAGAAGGGAAAGGGGAACATTTGCCACCTACTGTGCCTTTCAGCAAAAACTGGTAAACCATTTAACCAATCTTTATTCTTCAAATCTCCAGTGAGTCAGATAGCTGAAATGCTATGTTACAGCTGTTCTCAAATATGTTTATGAACAACTGTGCCAGAAGCAATCACCATGTCATAAAAAACACAATGTCATGAAAAACACAGTACTAGTTTCTGAGACAATATCTGAGGCAAGCCAAAAAAGCAGCAACGGAATGATTCCATCTAAATCTGCTCATAGAACCTAACATGTCTACCCGGTACACAGTTTGGCCTGTGGGCATGGAAGGAAGAGAAAGAATGTAATAGAAGGGAGAAGGAAGGATAGAACTGGAAGAAAAGATAGGAAGGGGACTTCAGAGCAATTTATACTCCCTCAGTAGAAGATTAGGGGTGGTAAATTGGGGTGAGAACTGAGGTCTTCCTTGAGATTCCCCTCATCCCTACTTCTCTACACTCACCTCTGACTCTCTAGGAACTAAACATGGCAGTATTTTCCAGAGCGGGAAACAAAAGAAATCTAAAGGCCTAGATTACCTCATATTCATCATAAAATCTTCATGGTTCCCTCTGTTCAAGTGCAGGTCATTGGGGTAGACAAGAAAACTGACAAACAGGATCATTAGGATCTCTACAGAATTTTTTCCTCGATCTACAAAATCACCATTAAAAACATATGGGTTGCTTCCTGAGGGGAGACCATTCTGTGGAAGGAGGAGAGGGGGAAAACAAGCAGTTAAAAGAGTATACTTTTAAAGTAAGGCTCTGTATTTAACGTCCCTGTGAACATGGAGAAAAGACGCCGAGTCAGTTCTTCCACCGGGAAAACTCTGCTCACTCACTTGAGCCAGATTCACTCTTCCAGGGCAGGCATCTCCGGCAGGGGACCTTGGAAGTGAAACATTAGCTCGGGACAGGAAGACTCCAGGGGAGACGGGGATTGCTCATTCTACCCACCACCTACTATGAGTTTTTCTCTGAAAGGACTGATACTTGTCCTATCAAAAATGGCTACTCTCATCTCTTCCTTCTCCCTTGAAAAGAGGGAAACTTGTACCCAAGGAAGAAGACTCAACTAAGAGCCAAAAGTCTTCCCTTCTAAAGGGCCCTACCTTTAACTTCTCTGCACTGTGATTCCCTCAATTTGCAAAAACTGGAAGACACTATATCTCCCCACACCCTGCCGCAGATCAAATGAGGTTACGGATATGGAAGTACCCAGGAAAGTGTCAGGTACCATGCCACTGTGAGCAGGGCTGGTATACCACCAGTACATTAACATCAGGTGCTGATAGCTGGTGGGTAGTGACTGCTCACTGACAAGGCCACATTTGTTAAATATTTTGATTATCACTCCAGAGTATGAGATAATACTTTTAAACACAGTGTTAGCAAGAAAAAGTACTGGGATCAGGACAAAGCTCTGGTCTTTACAACAGCTATTGATTTGTTTGCTTCTGTACCACTAAACTCTAAGACAAAACAACCATGTCATGCCTACCAGTGCATGGCCAAGCACATTTCTACTGCATAGTAAGATAAACTCAAATGTTTATAAATACATTACCAAGAGAAAAATTTAAGTACTCATATATCCAAATGTATGTCCTCCTTCAAAAAAGTTACCTTCAGGAAATAATACACATATTACAGTTATATTAAGCTTTTTCAAACAATTTCTTCTATGTGGGATGCCACCACAGCATGGCCTGTTGAGCAGTGTGTAGGTCCATGCCCAAGATCTGAACTGGTGAACCCCAGGCTGCTGAAGCAGAGCATGTGAACTTAACCACTCAGCCATGGGGCTGGCCCCCTCAAACTATTTTCAACTTCCTCTTTTGTTAGATTCCAAACTATATAAGAAAGTCTTGTTACTTTATACTCACCATCCTAGTATGTATATACATTTTAAATTGTTCATATCAATATAATAGAAATAGTTGAAAAAATATTATACAAGTTGCAACATATAACTTAGGGATTCCAGAAATCATTATGCAATGTAGTATGTTCTGTAGGCTATTGGAAACAAACAAACAAACAAGCAGTGGCATAGTGTTCTTTGCCAGAAATGAGACTTAGTCTCTAGGCCAGCTCCACTATTACCCAAGTGTCCTTGGGCAAGTTATTTAATCTTCATGAACTGTAGTTTCCTCATCTGTAAAATGGGGATGATAATTTCCATACTTACCTCACAGAACTACTTTGGAACTCAACGAGACTATGTGTCTAAAATTGCATGAAAACCATAAAGCACCATACAAATTAAGAGATTCATTTTATTATGGCCTCCACGCTATCTCTAATTTTAAGATCCCATTATTTTACATTTATTCATGTAACCTTATTCACACTGGGCTTAGATAGTGTCAGCCAGTTGCAAAAATATAGGCTATTGCTTATCAAAACTTAAAGAAAAGGGGAAGGATTCTGCATCTCTGATGCTCTTCCTTCCCCCAGCCTTCAGCTGGCTGGGGTGAGTAAGCTGGAGGAGTCTGAGGGGTGTTGAAGGTTATAGGCTCTATTGGGATGTTTAGGCCTGCAAGGGGCTAGAGAGTGTGAGAACGTGGAAGAACTAGGCCTGAGGGGACCTGTGGACCCCTTGATTAAGTGATGTGTGGTCCTGATTGGGGAAGGAGAAGCTGGATCTTACTAGAAAAAGTATAGGGAACTTCTATATCTCTGAAGCCAAAAGAACACTAACACTTGCATTTAGGGGCACCTAGGAACATAGAGACTTCCTTTCATACTCTTCATGCAAGAGTGGAAACTGTTGTGCCTCCAACTATGGAGAGGCTTAACCTAGCTTAAGCAGAAAATAAAAACTGGAAATAACCTAGTATTTAAGGGGTTCCAGTAACCAGAAAGAGGTAGAGCAATCAGATCTGCCAAAGTCCTGTCCCCTAAAAGACAGGACTGCTGGAGGAGACAGAGGACAGCTTTATTTTAAAAAATAATAAGAGGACTATAAAATAAAGAACAAAAAGTTAATAATTCTTGGCATTAAAATGTGCTATTCAAATTTAAAATATCAATTAATTAGAGCTACCTAAAGAAAGAGTGGTTGGAAAATACATTATTGACCTGAAAGAGCAAGCAGATGAAAAAACCTCTCACACAGAGCAAAAAGCAAAATGATAAAAATCATGAGGAATGAGTAAGAGATTAGAGTTCAGAGCCAAGAGAACTAATATGCCAATAATAAGCATTCCAGAATCAGAAAAAAGGAACAGATGGAGAAGAGGCAATAACTACATAAATAAGAGAGAGAATTTTCTATAGTTAAAAAGAGACTTCAGTCTGAAGTTTGAAAGAGTTCATGATTCCTATTCAAAATTCATGGGGAAAAAAAATCCCTATTACCTGTAAAAGTCTTAGAAGTTGCCAGACAAAAAGAACAAGTTACAAAGGGAAAAGAATCATCCTGGCATCAGACTTCTCATCTGCAGTACTGGGAGGTAGAAGATAGTGGAGTAAAATATACAAATTAAAGAGACAAAAGGACTATAAATGAAGAATTGTGTATTGGCCAAGACATTATTTTTTTTTTTTTTTTAAAGATTGGCACCTGGGCTAACAACTGTTGCCAATCTTCCTTTTTTTTTTTTAAGGATTGGCACCTGGGCTAACAACTGTTGCCAATCTTTTTTTTTCCCTGCTTTATCTCCCCAAACCCCCCTGTACACAGTTGTATATCCTAGGTGCAGGTCCTTCTGGTTGTGGGATGTGGGACGCTGCCTCAACGTGGCCTGACGAGCGGTGCCATGTCCGCGCCCAGGATCTGAACCCTGGGCCGCCGCAGCCGAGTGCATGAACTTAACCACTCGGCCACGGAGCCAGCCCCTGTGACATTATTAACTTCTCAGGGTGATAGAAAATATTTGCAGATGTGTAAAGGATCAAATACCAACAACGTAAATATTCTTCAGGGTGGAAAAAAGACATGTGATGATGTAGTGATCTAATACCAAAAAACAATGAACATGTATTGATTGCTTGTTATGTACGTAGACACAGCTCTAGGTGCTAGAAACCAAAAGTAAACCATACAAAGTCCCTGCATTCAAGTAGCTTGCATTCAGAGACTGTAGCAGCCACATGCCCCAAAAAGGAAAACACCCAAGAAAATATTCTAACCAAATAACAGCAGTAACAATAAAAAGTTCTTAACCCAGGGAAAGACCAAAAGGAAAAAAGACAGATGTGAACAATGAACCTTGCAATATATAATTAAAAATAAATCAATTGTGGTCATGTAGAACTTGCATTTAAGTACTAAGCAAGGATTCTAGAAATAGAAGAAATATACTATGAAGGAAAAGCTAATAATGGTCAAGAACTAAAAATATGGCATGACCAATAGCTAGGATTTGCAGGGGAGGTGAGGGGAGAAAAGTAAAATTCTCTACAAATCTCATCTGAATGGGGGACAGATATGGAAAGTGTGAAAATAAATACATTTATCCTACTGGAGGAGAGAGAGGATAATGGTGGAAGAAGAAAGTTATAGCTATTTGAGAAATATACACACACACATTATTCATTAGAACTATCAAGAATGGGAAGATAACCACTAGTGAATGGAAAAACACAGTAAAAATGTCAAAGAAAACAATAAAAAGAAAACTTCGTCAAAACAACAAAAAGAAAAGGAAAATGATGAAAGAAGTGAAATAAACTGTAAACAAAGTAGAAGAGAAGGAAATTTTTCAAAAATATCTATTGTTATTGTTCCTGGGTTTCAGCACCAAAAAAACAAAAAACAAACAACAACAAAAAATATCTGTTGTTATACAAAATGTGAGTTAAATTCTCCCATTAAAACGCCAAGATTACCGGACTACATTAAAACACAAAACTCAGATATACATAGTTTGAGAGAAATACGCGTGAAAAAATAGATAAAGGGAGGTTGAAAACAAGGGAAACGCAACAAAGAGAAAGAAAAAATGCAAATATTAATACTAGACAAAGTGGAATTTAATATTAAAAGTGCTAAACCAGATCACAAAGCAACAATCCATCATAATAAAAGGCACTTTATGAAGAAGATACAATTCATGAACTAGTATTCAATAAAAGAACAAGTTTTATTTCATATATTTAACTTCTATAAATGCAAGAAGAAATTGTTTAAAAATACAAACATAGTGAATTATTCAGATTGAATTACTGGTTTAAAATAATGTCCACAAATTCTTTGACACTCCCTTTAAAAAGTGAAGCCTAATTGGCCACCCCTAGAATGTGCACTGGACTTAACTGATTTGCTTCTAAGGAATAAAAAAACACAGCAGAAGTGCTGGTGTGCAACTTGGGCGACTAAGTCACAAAAGACACTGCAGCTTCCTGCCTGCTCTCTTTCTCGGATCACTTACTCTGGGGAAAGCCAGCTGCTACGTCATGAGAATACTCAGGTACCCTGTGGAGAGGCCCATGTGGCTGTTCTGCCAACAGCCAGCAAGGAACTGAAATGCTGTGCCTGCTGCCATGTGAGTCAGCAACCTTGGAAATAGGTCCTCCAGCCCCAGTCAACTTTTCAGACGACTGCAGCCCCGGCCAATAGTTTGACGGCAACCTCATGAGATACCTTAAGCCAGAACCACCCAGCTAAGCTGCACTCAAATTTCTGATCCACAGAAACTGAGACACTAAATATTTGAGGTTTTAAGTCATTAAGTACTGGGGTAATTTGTTACATAGC